AGCAGAAAAAACTTGGGAATCATGGTAAACATCAGGCTGAAAATGTGTCAGCAGTGGGTCCTTGCCTCATGGAAGATAACTGATCCCTGGACTGTATTCAGGCAAAGCAGTGCCAGCAGGTGAAGGGAGCTGATCCTGCCCCTCTGCTCAGCCCCTGTGAGGTCTCCCCTGGGTCTGGTCTGGAACAGAGCGGGTATTGAGGGTGGAGTTGGGCTCTTCTCCATGCTGCCCACTGCCAGGACCAGGGACAATGGGCACAAACTGGAATGCAGGAGSTTCCCCCTCTGAACATCAGAAAACACTTTTTCAGTGGGAGGGTCATCAAGTCCAGGCTCCAGAGAGATTGTGGAGTCTTTTCCTTGGAGATATTCAAAAGCTGTTTGGACACAATCCTGGGAAGGCTGCTCTGGGTGCATCCAGGGGGTTGGATCAGATGGCCTCCAGAAGTCCCTTCCCACCTCAACCCTTCTGTGGAATTTTGTGATACAGAGGTTGCATTTTTTCTACCAGTGGTAGACATGTCACAGAGTGTCCAGACACTCTATTGAAAGCTGCTTTAAAAGCCTGCTGCCTCTTMGAGAAAGCGCACAACATTTATAAATTTRTGCATTGAAAAAAGCACYGGGAAGAAATCTTTTTGGGACATACCCTTTAGCAGATAGTGACTCTGCTCACGGTGACCACAGTATGAAGTTTCCAATTTGGCTACCAGGAGTGCTTTAAATTATGCTTCTGATATCATAACTTCATTATATTCTGTAGAAAGTAAGGTATTTTTCTATTTTAATGTACATTTTGTGCTTGGTAGTGCATGTGATAAGCTACTTCCCATTGATAACTTTACCTCAGGCAGGTATGATCACTTTTTTTTTACTTCACTATGAAAACATTTCAAAATTCTTCATCTCCCTATATCACATCTTTGTCTGGCTTTATAGATAACTCTGCAAGAGAGGATTAGGATTTTTTTTTTTGGTGACTGCTCCTCCTCTGTAGGTCCAGCAGGCAGCCTGAAGGTTACAATAATTGACATTTATGAGAGGCAACAGATGGATCTCTGCAAMGTAAAGCAGTAGTTTCTTTCAAAATATCCTGAATTTGGTCAGCATCAATATGCCAAAGAGCTTCAATGTTTTGCATGTTTTTAGGCTTAGAGTTTTTACTTTCTTTGCTTTCCCCCTTGCTTCAGTGGTCTAGATTTTAGGTTCTCCTCCTATACCATGGGAGGAAAGTTAACTTCACCTTTTGCAATGCACCATTGTAAGAATGTAACATCTCCTGGCCCAGAATTCTAGTGGTGTCAGCTTGTTGTTCCACCAAAATCTACTAATTTTGCTTCTTCAGCACTGATGAAGTTATAGGGCTGCTCATTCCAGAGTTAGCACAGTGAGCCCTGGCCTGGGGGTTCTGCTACAGTATTAATGTGTTATAGTCTGGGTCTAACACAAATCTCTCTGCAATAACCTGGAGAACTTTTCAAAGCTCACACCATTCAAGCCACTGTGTACCTGGCATTTCATACTCTCAGTGTGCATTTTCTATTTTCAAATAACAACAAAAATTGCATGAAGAGGCTTTCTCAAAGATGCTAAGATGTCACCATTTTGACTGTATAATTAATTTGTTCTCTGAGAATTGAGGTTTTGGTAGTGATGATCTGTCTTGCATTTTAAAGGTGTTGTGTAGAATATATTATTTGTCAAAAAAATATATATGTTATGCCCTACATCAAATAAATGTAGATTTTAAACACAAAATTTAAATATAATTCTTCTTTACTATTAATTGGATCCTATTCTCTTATACTTCTCTTAATTGTCTCCCAATTCAAAGAAATGTTTAACATTTTCAACTACCAATCACTTAAAAAGCCACCCAGAATCAAGATGAGATACAGAGATACTGTTTCACAAAAAAAATTAATATTTCTAGAAACAACTATAAAGCAAATACTAAAATAGCTTTACTGTATTAAAATTAAATAAWTTACTTTCAAGCCTATTCCCTGAAGCAGAGTTTAATGCAGTCACCACTGCAGCATTCTGTGCATGTAAAAATCATTATACCAGTTAAAAAAAAGAAGAAGTCACCTTTCAAAACTGCTGACAGCGAATTATATATCTCAACAAGTATCCATTACTTACCCCTGGAGGTATTTCTTCTTTCAGAGGCTCTAACTCCCTACCAAATGGAAATGTTTGCATTCCCAGTCATTTGGACAAGGGCTAGCATGATAAAATGATTTGTTATGCCAATAAAGATTTTTGTTACACTGTAAAATGGTTTGTTATGCTACTATTGCTACATAAAAATGCTATGAAAATTAAGTAGGTTGTAAGGTGCAGAAAGGAATAGTCTGCTTTTGGGACTAGCTAGTAAGAAAAGGTAAAAAGAATAATCTTATGACCCTCAGTCCTTCAAAAAGACAATCTCAATGACCATTTAACTAACAACCGAAATGGGTACCCCAATTAGAAAAGCAGTTCTGCATTCAAAATGAAGGGGAACTTCCTCAAGTCAATAACACTCAGAAAAATGAGAGGAAATTGCAAATTATTTGATAATCCAGGTGGTGACTTCTGTCCTGTGTGACAGTACATGAAACAAGCCTAAATTACAATTCAGAATGGAAACTGAAGTACAGACTCATGGTATGTTAATAATAACATGTCACAGACAGGAGAGCAAGAYGGTAAAATTGGGGGAAAACCTTACTTTGTGTATAATATTTTAATTTTAGAATCRTGTATATCAATCAAAGCAGTATCTGAAACTGTCAAAAAATTAATTCATTGTCATGCCTTTGAAGTCCCTGCACATTTTGAATTTCCAATTTAATTAAAATTTTGAATTTTTATTTAATCCAGACTGGCAGTCACTTYTCCAGAAAGGGAAGGCCAGTTAAATCTAACACTTTATAATTATTACAGAATTTTTACTTTTTTTTTTTTATTTTCATATTTGAGTGGCTTATACATATTAATTGTGTTTATCTTATTATTCTAATATTAATATTTGTTTTCCTGTCATTTGACTGAACTGTACTGCCCTGGTAAGTGCAGAATAAAATACTTTCTGTGATCAATAATCAGCTGTATTTCCATAGAATTCTAAATATGTTGATGATCACAAAGAATACCTGAAGTAATTTTAACATATACATTTTTTCTTACAGAAGTGAGGATGTGTTTAAAATATTCATGTTTTTTTCCTTTTAAAATTAACCACACTTCATTTTCCTTTGTACAGCCTTAMTGATGCAGATGAATGACACTGCATTGTGAGGGAAATCTGCTGCAAATGAACTCTTGGGAGAAGCAGCCTGCTTTGAGAATCAGGGCCCCACAAAAATAAGGAAGGTGCATTCAGTTAAGCCTGAGTGTGCAGAATTCTTCTGGAAGACCCACGTTCACAGCAACATTGTAATTTGTGTTGGCATACACAGGGCTGGGCTGCAAGAAAAGTAGCTTTTTCTTCACTGGAAAAGATCCTGACTCAAAGTCTTTACTGCCCGACTGAAGGATGGTCAGCAGAAGTCTTGTGTAGGTGTYTGTGATATCACTGATGCCTGAGCTGATGGACCAGGGTAAGACACATATCTTGTGCAGGTGCAGGTGATGTCACTGGTGTGCAAACCAAGTGCRCTAATTCAGAGCTGGATCATCAAGTGGAAGTTCATTAATCACAGATGCACAAATTTATCCAAGTTTGATTAAAAGTAATAGCAAAGAAAAAGCACTTGCTTCTTCAGCACAGATGAAGTTATAGGGCATGTTACAAAAGGCATTTAGTACTGCAGAGGAATTCTCTTGAACTTTCAGRCATTTGGACAGAACAACAGATGAAACCACACACAGATTACGTTTCTTTTAAAAGAGAAATGTCTTTATGCTGAAAAAATGTAAGAATTAAATTTAAAAAGAATATAAAACTAGTAAGTAAGGTTTCTTTGGAAGATATCTTTTATTTTGCCAGTTGGTTAGTAAAACAACTTGAAATATTTAACAGACCAGGAATATCCATCCCTTCTGGTCAGACCAGGTAGTTCACCTGACTAGAAGGTGTGGACTGCAGACTGCACCTCTTCTCCCGCTGTCCAACAAGCCCTGGTGACCATGGTTAGGACCATGAGCCCTGGGCATTTATGTTCTTAAAATAGGTCTGGACATTGCGGTGATCGATCCTGTGTGCAGCCACTTGGGATCAGCCAGCTGCAATGCTCTGCACACAGCTATGAAGAGAAAGAGGTACCGCATCCAGGACATCACACACAGCTCATGCTAAACCTGTTAACCACAAGCAGAGGCAGCCAAGAGATTGAGGAAAAACTGTGGCCAAGACAGGGCTGYTGCTCCCAAAGCRAMCTACTGAGTCCTAKCACTTCCCTGCACTGTGGGCTTTCATAACAACTTCTTGTAACTGCATTTTTGGAATGGTGTTGCAACAAATGTGGACCATGGAGATAGAGCATTCTGATAATGCAGAGTTCAAGGAGAGAAAAATAGCATGATTAAATATAAACACACGCTTTAATTTCTAATATTTTTCTGACCTTTTTCAAGGATTAATCCATGGCTCAGTCTGGGAGGAAACTTAGCTGTGTATCATGTAAAATATATTTACAAACAGGGCTGAATAAATGGCGCTATTGATTGTGAACTTCAGAAAGCTTTAGGCAAATTAATTTTGGACAAGTCTGCTCTCATTTTCTCTATGTGCCTCAATGAATGAGAGCCAAGGACTCGAAGTAATTTCTACCTGTCCCAGCAATGGTCAGAATGGGAACTATGCAAGTACAGAACTATAAGAGATATAAGGAAAGAAAAGAACAGTGAACATTTTAATTATGTGTATATAATTCTCTAACGCAAAACACAATTAAAAATCTCTGTAGCTTTCTGCCAGCCACCACATCCCCTTTCCAGGACACGCAACAGCAGCAGCAGGTTGTGAGTGAAAGGACCGACAGAATCCCAGTAGGAAAAGAATCATGAACTTACAGAGAGGAGTATCTGRATAGCGCTGTGAATGACCTCCAGGTACTGGAAATCGATGATACAGCCTGTCACAGAGACGTAGGAGTAATCCTCTAGGATGCCAGGGGAAGAAGGACGCACCACCCTTCGTATGCAGCCGGGCCCGTGTTCCCTCCACCAAGAGCGGTGCATTGAGATGTTAAAGGTCATGAGATCCGTTTCCTGGGAGAGGGAGGGAAAAAGGGTGAAAAACTCTGACTTTCTGTTATTTAAGGTAAAGAAAGGGGAAATAAAAGATCTTTTCTATTAGTATAAGGGCAATGAGATAATTATCCTTAATCCTCACTGCAGTAATTTGAGCTTGACAGTAGAATGTTAAAGTGGAGAGAGGAAATTGYAAATTCATTGATTATTTTGTACTTGTGCACAGGAACTTCTGCCTGGCACAAGAACCATCATACCACGTACTGTACAAAACACATGGACCCTTGGACTTACGGCCTGAAAACAATGTTCTTGTTACTTGGTTAGAATGTTACTTAAGAGCTAATTTATTTTTCTTAATAGATGACAGAGCCAGTTTTACCCCATGATACTGGAGACAACCTAAACCAATTTTGCATCATATTTGATGATTTTCATCATCAGATTCAAATGAGAAGATGTCTCCAGCCAAGCACCCTGCTCTCTTTTYTTCCCTCTGCCCCTCATCCAGATTACCAAATTCTCAGTTTAGTGAAGGTAAATACTTTTATGAACTGATCTGGGTTTAACCTAAAAGCAGTAAGTTCTCTTCACTCAAATCTTGATCAGATATTAAACCTACTCTGATGAGAACTGGTTGCATTGTAACCCACACAGGATATATAAAGTCTGTGCATTTTAGTAAAAATCATCTCACTTCCACTTGGAGCAGTGAAAGTGGCAAGCCTACTCATGTACTGAAGAGTTTCTAAGAGCTTACCTATGAAATACAACCAGGAAAATTCATTTGAATTAACAGCAGATTTGGGTCTTTAGGTCATGCATAAGTAAAATACACAGAAGTTGAATGGATGCCATTTAAATGCAAAAAAATCCCAACTCTCCTCCCTGGAGGTAAATGAGAGTTGAGTTATATTCCTGCTTTAAATAATTAATTTGGATTTATGTTTCCATGTTTCCCATTCTCAACTCCAAGTGAAAAATGTGTGCTAAATTGTCAGCTGTATGCCCACAAAATACAGCTGGTTTCCACATGTCAGTATATCAGCAGAGCAATAACACCAATTTTCCCTTTGCATCACACAAATATTTTCTCTCTGTGGCCATTCACTTCCACCCYGGGCAAAATGACTTTTGGGGCAGATTCCAGTTGCAGAAGTAGTCCATTTGTTAYTTTCCTTTGTTAATTGCCTTTATTCTGGCCACACTTGAAAATTAGCACAGGAATTAAATCCTGTCATCCCAAATATATTTTAGTTATCAGTCAGAAATCTGCCTTTGTGATCTGCTGGTATTTTCTCCACAATGTCTTTACCCTTTAAATGCAGAATTGCTGGAGCATTATTTCCAGCTGATGAACCATTTGTCTTTTGACTTTGCATGTCAATCCTTGATAGTGGTTTAGAAAATTTTCAGCTGCAGCATGAAAACAACTTGTGAAATCAGAAGCTGTCAGACAGCTCAGTTTAATGAAAATATAATTATAAATATAGAGTCACAGGAAACAGCCAAGGCTTTCTTTGTACAACAATGCCAGAGATTGCACAATATTATCAAGTGCTTTTAAAAACTTTCAACTCTAAGAAATGCCAGTTGACAAGCAGCACACACATATTCAATCTAACCTATTTCAGAAGCTCTTTTGAGAAGGAATATGGATTAGTGGATGAGTGTGTATCTAACATTGCGAGGTAACACTTTGTTTTCAAAACTGTGGGATAAAGTGGTGATATCCATGGCTTTGGTGTCACAGCTTTCTTTGCACTCGAGGGTTTATTTATCTTTTTTTTTTTTTTTTTATGTTTTTAAATTTTTAAAGTTGCACCATATTATGGTGTTTCTGCTTGGATAGTTCACAGCCAATGACACAGAAAAAAGGCAAAATTCCCTAGGATAAAAGCTTGATAAATTTTGCCAAGACATAAAATGTGTATGATTTTGGCATGTGATCAGTACAAACACCTAATAAATAAAATCTTTCATTTCTGGAATACTATRTTTGGTTTGTGGGTTGATTAAAAAAAATTGCTTACTTGATGATCTTGCTCATGTTTCAAAGCTGCTGGTAAATTAGGTAAGAAAGAAATCCAAAAGAAATGCCATCATAGCACTTGCTACCTTTTAGAAATAAATTCTTATTCAGAAATTTGGGATAAGGCTGTAAGAGATTTTCATGTTTACTTTTCACTTTGTGTATTAAATTCTGAGCTCTCAAAGCAGGTAAAAGCAGATAATGATGGTCCAGCAAGGATCAGTTTTAGAAAAGCAAACAAAACCACGTGGTGCAATAGCTTGACCTCTGAAATATCACTTCACAAAATGGCAGCCATAAGCTGTTCGAGCTGATAAATGTTAAGCTGCCAATCAATAAAAGAAAGCCTGACAACAAGAAAAATCAATTTTTTTTTTTTTTTCACAGCTGAAACACTCCTCTCTAACTACTTGGGAGATACTTAATCCATAAAATGAGTCAAATGCACCATGCATTAAAAAAATTAGCCTGTATCTTTAGAGTAATTTGCAGAGCCACAGAAAACTGAAAGACCCCTTGCTGGGATGCTTGGGTTTTAAACATCAGTGAACTCCTGAGAGTATTTCAGTATTTGTAAATTCACAGCTTGGAAATCCTGAGCATGGTGGAAAAGCTGCTGCCCAAGTGGCTTTGTTTTCAGCTCTATCTTTGATGAAAGTTAGGAATTCTTTCAGAAAATACAACCAGATGCTTGAAGCTTTTCAATAGAACATTTACTATCTTCCAATTTCACCAGAAAAATATTAAAAAATACATGTATAAAATGTTTAATCTTCAGCAGGTGGCAAATAAGAATGCTTATTTCTTAGGAAAAAAAAAAAAAGCTGCTGCTTCAAAGCAATAGACTCAATTTCTGGCTCTGTACAAGAGAAACCAAGTCATCCTGACTAATCCAGCTGGGATTCATTTAACAGTTGAAATTTTAATCATGGATGGAAAATTGCTCTCTTCTGAGCATATATCTTGACTTAAATTCTATACATCAGTGGGTAAACKATACTTCCTCAGCTGGTAACCTCCCAAATAGACACCATGAACAGTGAGGGGGCAGAACACAGGTAATGGGTCTTCCAGGCAAGTTAGAGAAGTGACACAGGGAGGGGAAATCCTAYCTCCTACTCCTCTCTTCTTTAGTCAGCATTAAAGCAATACTCCAATCTATGGTAAAAAGTTTGCTCCTTTTTCATGGAGAATAGGATCAGCCTTGTACCACACTTTACTGATGTAAGAGTCCTGCTTAACTGTCTACGACTTTTTAAGCCTTTAAACTATATACAGGATTTGTGTTGGCTGTCAGCCCAAGGATTAATTTTGATCATTATTGGAAATCATTGCTATGACAGATACWTTCTTTTAAGGTGAGATGTAATCCCTGTGAGTCTGAGTAATACTGTTTCTAAGTGCTTGGAGATAATGTTTAATTTCATTAAACATTTCATTAAACATATCTTCTTAAATTCTACATTTGCTTTCAAGTGGACATTTTGTACTGGGCAGGGCTTTGTGCAACCTGATCTAGTGAAAGATGTCCCTGCCCATAACAGGGAGGTTGCTCTCGATGATCTTTGAAGGTACATTCTGAGCAAAACATTCTGTGATTTTTTTGTTCCATTTTTAGATGGTGAATCTAGCTAAATTTTAACATATCATAGCATAAAATGGCTTATTTTAAAACTACAGAGTAGCAACAGGGATTATGATCCTTTCATTTATTTGTGCATTATTTACACACAGTGTCACAAAAAATCCATGAGAAATTAAGACTAACTAAAATCACCAGTTTTAAAGAAAACAATAAGAAGATACTGAAACTCCAGAGAGAAAACCCAATGCACAAAGATTGCATTTCATAAGAAACAAATRTTATGCTGTGACATGATTACCATCACAGATGTTTGTTCTTTCAGTGTATGCTTCTGTTTTATGACATGATATTTTAAATTTCTTTCATTCTTTGTTAGCATTTAAAAATACACTCCTAGGAAAACTACAACAAAAACAGTGCATTGAACAGGATGGAGGAAAACCACTTTTTTCCTTCACAAAACAGCAGTCAACACTTGAAATTTTATAGGAAAGTATAAGACCACAAAGGCCTGGCAAAGCGTAATGTTAGAGATCTTGACTTTATTGTTGCTTATGTGGTACCTAGACCTTCCTAACACTTGTTTTATTGATACACACTATAACACAAATTAAAACTGAACATTAGGCTGAGGCATTAAATATTCCCATTCCATCTCCTAAACATAACAAGGATGCTCTCTTCTGACTTGCTACACATATTTTGTTTAAGCAGTGAGAAGAAAAGATTTTCAATCAAACACCTGGTCAACAGGTAATAAAATTTTATGTGCATAATGCTAGGAAAGGAATAGTACATCTCCTTGTAATTCCCTACATCTAATTATGTTTTAATTAAGAGGCAGGACTGTGTTGGCAGGGACAAGTGCCACACRCAGTCCTGAGTATCTAATCTCAAGGAGAAATTAATCCTCCCTAGATATAAATGATGCCTCCCAGCATTAATGAAATCTGCTTTAATTGTAGAAGTAGTTGGAAATACAACTATCAGCTATTAGCCAATGACCACCTTGGCAACAAAACCTAAATTTTCCACCCTGCTACTACCTGAAACAATGGGTTCTGATTCCAGCTTGCTCTGTGTGTGACCAGTTACATTCCATCTCCTCCCACTTCTGCAGAACAAACAGGTTTTGAAGGCCTGGGCAGACAATACTGAAGAAGTCTGAGATCATTTCCCATTTCCAAATAGGGAAACCTGTGTCACTAGCTCCCACATTGTCTTTATTGGGATGACAAATTTTGAATATTGATTTTTTTTTTCCTGTTTATTTTTAATTTGCACTCTTGCGTCAGATGGTTTTTTCCTATTCCATGAGCAAGAGGTTGAGCGTAGCCCACTCAACAATTGTGCCCCCCACTCAACTGCTAATGGGATAGGACAATAAACCATGCTGATTCCAGGCTGCTCAAGATAGAACACAGTCAGTATCTTCACCTCATCCTGAGCACTCTGGTGAATAAATGACATGAAGAGTATTCTTAAATTGAAGYTTATGGGTTGACTCTATCAGGACTATTCATCTGTCTGAACTGGATGGCAGACTAGACCTAGCAAATTCATCTCTGTGCTACCAATGCACACTCAACCAGACGAATCATGTGATACACCTAAATTAATTACCATTAAAAGAGAAAATTCACAACATCAAAATCTTCAGACACAAACCAAGAGGAAACTTCAGCATCGTGGGCTGAGAATGGCTTAAGCAGGTACAGAGGTAAAGTAATTTTTGGTTGGTGTGATTAGAGGCTCGTGGTTCCCACTTAG